AAAAGTGCCACAAATACTGCCTAAACAAAATACTGATTTTGTGCACTTTATTTACTATACCAATATTTTAAATTGGCCTTTGAACTTAGCTTTATTGCATGGCAAAAAAAAAGTGTTTCCTTGCCAAAGCACTGACAGAGCCCACCACTGATCTGGCGTTGTTGAGCGCTCCAAATGCAAATTTTGCATGCAACAATCAGGCAGCAATTGACAGCACTCTGATCTAGTGGCATACAGGCATCGTCAGATTGACAGTACTCTAGCCCAATAATGTTGGGGGATCCAGTGGGGGTGGCAGTCATATTTCAGGGTGACCATGACACTCTTTATCACAACCCTGCTAAAAGTGCCAGTACGTGCGCTCATTGGCGCTCCTTCAGCTGGTGGCGCCCTAGGCGACCGCCTAGCTCGCCTATGCCTAGAAATGGCCCTCTGTGTGTGTGTGTGTGTGTGTGTGTGTGTGTGTGTGTTCACTACTCACTGCTGTGTGTGTGCACTTGGATGAGTTAAATGCATAGCACAAATTCTGAGTATGGGACACCATACAGTACTTGGACATCAGGTCCTTTCCTTCCTTCCTTAACAAATTAACATCATTGTTTTCCATTGAACGAATGAATGAATGAATTACCAATAACACATATAAATGAACTCAACACTGCATCACTGTCCACTCACAGATAAACTGCAGCCGACTCTGACTGTAAATCCTCAGAGTTCAGTGTTCACTGGAGACACAGTTACTCTGAGCTGTGATTCTTAGTTGGTCTCACCTATAACGCTGCTAGTCTGATTGTGTTTTAGTTAAGAGTTTGTAACAGATATTGGATCAGCTGTGAGCACAGTGACCGAGAATATTAGTCTGTTTATGATCACAAAAGACAACAGTCTCAATACAGTACGTGTGAATCCTCCAGACATTCTCAGTTAATTTCAGTGAGCTGCTGCCCGTCATTATTTGCAGATGAAGGTAACCCTTAATGTAGCTAACAAGATTTAGTGTTGATGTTGAATGTTTAATGTTGAATCACATTAAACCTGTAGTGAGTGTCAGTCAAATTACCTCATCACATTACAAATTTACATTTAAATTACATTTACATTTAGTCATTTAGCAGACACTTTTATCCAAAGCGACTTACAAATGAGGACAATGGAAGTAATCAAAATCAACAAAAGAGCAATGATATACAAGTGCTATAACAAGTCTCAGTTAGCTTATCGCAGTACACGTAGCAAGTTTTTTTTTTAAATAATATAATAAATAAAAAGAAAACCGATAGAATAGAAAAAGATTAGAAAGCAAGTGTTCGTTGTTTTTTTTCAGAAAACAAGCAGCAAATTAATTAATAGAGTGCAAGTTTTTTTTTTTTTTTTTTTTTTAAAGAAAAGGTTTAGAATAGAGCGGGCTAGGGGCTTCTTTGGGATGGCACAATAAAGCGACGTTCACTTGCAGAACGCACGCTTCTAGAGGGCACATAATTCTGAAGTAATGCATTTAGGTAAAGGGGTGCAGAGCCAGTGGTGGTTTTGTAAGCAAACATCAATGCCTTGAATTTTATGCGAGCAGCTATTGGTAGCCAGTGCAAAAATGATAAACAGAGGTGTGACATGCATTATTTTTGGCTCATTCAAAATGTATATTGCTGCCGTGTTCTGGATTAATTGTAAAGGTTTGATAGAACTGGCTGGAAGACCTGCCAAGAGAGCATTGCAATAGTCCAGCCTGGACAGAACAAGAGCTTGAACAAGGAGTTGTGGCCTGATCTTCTTGATGTTGAATAAAGCAAATATGCAGGACCAAACAGTTTTAGCAATGTGGTCTGATAAAGCTGATCATCAATCATATATCCAAGGTTTCTGGCTGTTTTTGAAGGAGTTATGGTTGATGTGCCTAACTGGATGGTGAAATTGTGATGAAATGATGGGTTTGTTGGAACCACAAGCAGTTCTGTCTTGGCAAGGTTGAGTTGAAGGTAATGGTCCTTCATCCAACAATAAATGTCTGTTAGACAAGCTGCGATGTGAGCAGCTATCGTCGGATCATCAGGATGGAATGAGAGGTAGAGTTGAGTGTAATCAGCATAGCAGTGGTATGAAAAGCAATGTTTCTGAATGACAGAACCTAATGATGCCATGTAGACAGAGAACAGAAGTGGTCCAAGAACTGAGCCCTGAGGCACCCCAGTAGTTAGATGTTGCGACTTGGACACCCCAACTCTTCAAGATACTTTGAAGGACCTATCTGAGAGATAAGACTCAAACCACTGGAGTGTGGTTCCTGAGATGCCCTTTGCCAATAGGGTTGACAGGAGGATCTGTTGGTTAACCGTGTCAAAAGCAGCGGACAGATCCAGCAAAACAAGTATTGAAGATTTGGAATTCGCTCTTGCCAGTCTTAGGGCTTCAACAATAGAGAGCAAGGCAGTCTCGGTTGAATGTCCACTTCTGAAACCAGACTGGTTGCTGTCAAGGAGGTTGTTCTGTGTGAGAAAGGCTGAGACTTGGTTGAACACAGCTCGTTCAAGTGTTTTTGTAATGAAAGGGAGAAGGGAAAGGGAAGGGAAGGGAAGGAAAGGAAAGGAAATGGAAGGGAAGAAGGGTCTGTAGTTCTCTAAAAGAGATGGGTTAAGGGTCGGTTTCTTAAGTAGTAGGTTATACTAGCCTGTCTAAATGTTGAAGGAAAAACACCAGTGTGAAGGGATATGTTAATGATGTGAATGAGAGCAGGTACAACTACAGGAGAAATGGCTTGAAGGAGATTGGATGGACTAAGATCAAGTGGACAAGTAGTAGGATGATTAGAAATGATTAGATTGGAGACTTCTGCCTCAGAGAGTGAAGATAAGGATGTGAATGAGTGTATGTCTGCTGGTAAGATGTGCTTCACAGATTGTGGTGTGGAAAATTGTGCACTGATGTTTTTAATTTTATTAATGAAAAATGTGGCAAAGTCGTCAGCTATTAGAGTTGATGCAAGAGGGGGAGGAGGAGGACAAATGAGCGAGGAAAATATTTTAAAGACCATGCGAGAGTTAGACGAATTGTTAATTTTGTTATGATAGCATGTTCTTTTAGCAGTGGAGACATTAGCAGATAAGGAAGAGAGGAGTGACTGATACACATTAAGGTCAGTAGGATTTTTGGATTTATGCCAAACCCTTTCAGCAGCCCTGAGCTTAGAACAATGTTCGCGGAGAACATCAGATACCCAAGGGGCAGAAGGGGTGGTACGGGCTGGTCTGGAAGACAAGGGGCAGACAGTGTCTAAACCAGATGTAAGAGTGGAGCAGAAAGTATCAGTAGTACTGTTAGCATCAAAAGATGCTAACAGTTTATGGGAAGGAAGCGAAGATGAAACCTGAACATGTGGAGGGGTATGTGTTGTGTCAGGAACCATGTTGAGGTTAAGAGTGAGAAGGAAGTGATCCGAGGTGTGCAGTGGAGGAACCAGTACATGATCAGTGTCGTGAGTAAATAAGGTCTAGTTGGTTGCCTGATTTGTGAGTAGCAGTAAATTAAAATTTAAAATTTAAAGTAAATTATATTTAGCACTCTTTTTTCACATAAGGAAAAGTGATCTTGATATTGTGATGTTTATCAATATTTATTCATTTGTGCATTAATACAGAGAGACCAAAACCTGTAGTGACGGTGACTCCAGATCAGCGTGTGTTCAGAGGAGAGACAGTCACTCTCACATGTGACATACAGGGAGGAGGAAACTTTCAGTGGACATACAGCTGGTTCAAAGATGCTTCTGTCATCAGACACGTCACCGAGAGAGTCTACACCATCACATCTGTGTCTGATAATAGTGGTGAATACAGCTGTAGAGGAGAGAGATCAGACTCACAGAGATCAGACACCAGTGCTGCTGTTACACTGACTGTATCAGGTGAGTGTTCAGATTCACATCTGTTTAATGCTCTTTAAATCAATATTTGTGGCTCAACACTTCTATTATACTCTTCTGTATCAGCTACATCTGTTATTATAAAAGACTGAAACAATTCACTTTAGTCATTATTCTGTTTGGATGCAAAACTGCATACGAGACTTCAAGTTCACTGGTTCAGTATTTCATGTATATTTTGCACAAACAACCTGCATTCACAGACTTAATCGACCAAACAGTTCATGTTGTGATATAGTGCTGTGCCATGTGCAACTTCTTTTTTTGGGCAAACATTCCTCCTTTTTACACAGATTTACACAAAGTCCATCCAATTGGCCCAATGAAGGTATCCAATGGTGGCTGAATGTTTCCTGCATATTCAGTATTTTCAGTGCTTTAAATCAATATTTGTGGCTCAACACTTCTATTATACTCTTCTGTATCAGCTACATCTGTTCTTATAAAAGACTGAAACAATTCACTTTAGTCATTATTCTGTTTGGATGCAAAACTGCATACGAGACTTCAAGTTCACTGGTTCAGTATTTCATGTATATTTTGCACAAACAACCTGCATTCACAGACTTAATCGACCAAACAGTTCATGTTGTGATATAGTGCTGTGCCATGTGCAACTTATTTTTTTGGGCAAACATTCCTCCTTTTTACACAGATTTACACAAAGTCCATCCAATTGGCCCAATGAAGGTATCCAATGGTGGCTGAATGTTTCCTGCATATTCAGTATTTTCAGTGCGCAAAGTAATTTAATTTAAATTAAATTCGAATCTGACTACATTTTATTATTACCTTGAATTTAGATTAGAATGCCAATTATTATTGATCATTCATAGTATAATTTATATAGACATCTGATTATTCTATTTAACTATTTAATCTTATTGAATCTTATCAATATTATTCATATAACACTATGAGTCTCATACCAAATGGATATACGGATCTCATACTGACAAACTCATCAGTCTTGGTCATTAGACAGAGACGACTGACATATATTCTAGAAGGCCCGTACCTACTTTGCTCATTCTAGAACATATTATTTAGTCCCCATAGATCTGAACACACTTAATTAAAAGGGTGGTTCACAGTTTTTTTTTCAAGGCTTGACTGTGTTTATGGGATGCAGTCTAACATGTGTTAATGCTTCGTTTAAAAAAAAAAACACACATTATTTTTCACATAATTTACCTTTATTCCACACCGCTCTGTACCTTCTCTGAGAAACAGGCTGATCTTTTCATGTTTTTTTGAAGCCCCGCCCTCAGAAATAGGCTATGGACTCTGAGCTAGCCCAGTGTGTTGTGATTGGCTAAACCGCCTCTAGTGCGCGTTAACGCGGCAGCGGCATGTGCTCCGGTTGTATTGTAAACAACTTATAAAAGACTGAAACAATTCACTTTAGTCATTATTCTGTTTGGATGCAAAACTGCATACGAGACTTCAAGTTCACTGGTTCAGTATTTCATGTATATTTTGCACAAACAACCTGCATTCACAGACTTAATCGACCAAACAGTTCATGTTGTGATATAGTGCTGTGCCATGTGCAACTTATTTTTTTGGGCAAACATTCCTCCTTTTTACACAGATTTACACAAAGTCCATCCAATTGGCCCAATGAAGGTATCCAATGGTGGCTGAATGTTTCCTGCATATTCAGTATTTTCAGTGCGCAAAGTAATTTAATTTAAATTAAATTCGAATCTGACTACATTTTATTATTACCTTGAATTTAGATTAGAATGCCAATTATTATTGATCATTCATAGTATAATTTATATAGACATCTGATTATTCTATTTAACTATTTAATCTTATTGAATCTTATCAATATTATTCATATAACACTATGAGTCTCATACCAAATGGATATACGGATCTCATACTGACAAACTCATCAGTCTTGGTCATTAGACAGAGACGACTGACATATATTCTAGAAGGCCCGTACCTACTTTGCTCATTCTAGAACATATTATTTAGTCCCCATAGATCTGAACACACTTAATTAAAAGGGTGGTTCACAGTTTTTTTTTCAAGGCTTGACTGTGTTTATGGGATGCAGTCTAACATGTGTTAATGCTTCGTTTAAAAAAAAAAACACACATTATTTTTCACATAATTTACCTTTATTCCACACCGCTCTGTACCTTCTCTGAGAAACAGGCTGATCTTTTCATGTTTTTATGAAGCCCCGCCCTCAGAAATAGGCTATGGACTCTGAGCTAGCCCAGTGTGTTGTGATTGGCTAAACCGCCTCTAGTGCGCGTTAACGCGTCAGCGGCATGTGCTCCGGTTGTATTGTAAACAACGACGTCGTTAATATCGCTTATCAGTTTGAGCCGAATTGAGAAGCAGAGGATATTATTGAAGAGGATCACGCAGAACCTGTGCAAGCATGGCTTTTAATGGTAGGCCTATGTTATTTGTTTGTTGTTGTCTCATACTTTTAGATATGCTGCTATTTGTAAATGCTACTGCTTATGTTAGCTTTTAATATAGGGTTTTATCCTGATTAAAGCTTTAATACAGTACGGCAACTGCATGCGCGTCCATGTACAACGTGTCACGGCGCGGTAAAGGAACACACCGTGTAAACAGGGGTCTGGGTCCAAATGCAGGCTTTTATTAACTGCAGGGGAAAACAAAGTAAAAACCAAAACAGAAAACAAACAGAGCTAAGACTCTGACACACAGGCTCAAAACAGAAAACGGACTCTGACACAATACGGCCACGTAGAGCTTGCATCAGTCCCGTAACAACAATTAATAATCCGCCCAGAGGGGCGTGGAGAAGGCGTATAAATAGCCCTCAGGATGGGCAACAGCTGTGTGTGTGTGAGTGTGTGCACAGGTGTGTGGAGTCAAGGTAACAGAGTCCGGGAGGATAGGAAGTGGCGACCTCTGGTGGTGAGAGGGAGAACACCAGATGCCAGACCCTGACAGGACCCCTCCTCTAAGGAACAGCTTCCAGACATTCCAGAGCGCCCAACCAGGGGAACGGCAGAGCGGGGATGGAGTAGGGGGAGGGATGGGGGGCCCAGGTCCGTGTGGTAGCAGGGGGCCTGGGGACTGGGGCAGAGCCGGTGGGATCGGCAGCCAGGGCAGAACCAGCGGCCACCACAGCGGTGTGTGTGGAGCTGCCTCGGGGGAACTGCGAGCGGACACCGCCGCCTCGGGGGAACTGCGAGCGGACTCCACCGCTTCCGGAGCCTTGTGAGTGGACACCGCTGCCCAGTGGAAACTGCGAGTGGGCACCGCCGCCTCGGGGGAACTGCGAGCGGACACCGCCGCCTCGGGGGAACTGCGAGCGGACTCCACCGCTTCCGGAGCCTTGTGAGTGGACACCGCTGCCCAGTGGAAACTGCGAGTGGGCACCGCCGCCTCGGGGGAACTGCGAGCGGACACCGCCGCCTCGGGGGAACTGCGAGCGGACTCCACCGCTTCCGGAGCCTTGTGAGTGGACACCGCTGCCCAGTGGAAACTGCGAGTGGGCACCGCCGCCTCGGGGGAACTGCGAGCGGACACCGCCGC